GAGGCTTTTTTCAGCTCACTGGTTGATAGAGTTTCTTATGTAGCCTTTGCCTCATTTTCTTGCTGCCCACTCACTGTGTGTTTATGAAACAAAGATAAAATGAAAAGCTCCTCCAACAATGAAGCCATTAGTCTGGCCACATACCAACCCCTCTTGTCACTATAGCATCCCAGCAGAAATAGCACCACCCAAGCTATATGGGAGCTATTTGTAGCCACAGAGGAGGATACTGCAGTTGACCCCCACAAAAGAAGAACAAGTATTTTGGCTTGTTTTTTTTCTGTAATGGTGTCATTTATCACTATGACACATATTCATTGACTTAGTCTGAATTTTTTCAGTGTCAGATTTATACTTCTTTTCTGTTTTGAATATTGATGCAGCACTTCCCTTACGTGACTGTACTGTGTCTGCCAAATGGTGTCTAGACGCTAGAGCAGCTTTGACTAATTAGTGTAGTCACCCCAGTCACTCAGCTTTGGCATTTACGTACTCTTTATGTTACTGCCGTCGTGCCATAAACAGGTACCTAAACACAAGCAGCAATGTAAAGAGAGGTGGCAGTGAGCACGTCCAGTCTTTACCTAACATCGAGGTGAGCGCAGAGGACAGCAGCCATCGCTCCCTGCATTCACTAACAGGGCAAGTCGTAACCACTCACTTGGACGTCGTAGCGTATGTGCGTGCAGTCAGCGGGAGATCCAGATTCAATGTCGTTCTTGGTCTGAAGATCACCACTGCAAAGGCAAGGCTAAGAGAGATTTCTCTCTCAAGGCTCAGCCCCTGTGTACCAGCAATTGAAGATGCATGCAGCCAGAGAGAAAAAAAGAAGTAAGAGAAATCAACGCCTGCCACGCAGGAATAGTGGTACTTCTTGGGGAGGACTCATGGCTAGTTTGTAGAGCTGCTTTCCAGTAGGGCGTGATTTACACCAGATCCAAACTAAAAATGCAGTTTTAGCAATTTTTGTGCAACTTCATAATTTATATCATGCTTTTGAATATTGCACCAGTACTGAAGCTGAGTTGCCCAACTTTAAAGGGGGAGACCTGATAAATATCAAAGATAATTTCAGAACATCAAAGAACTTTTACAAAACTTTGAGAATAAAAAATAGTGAAAACCTAACCAATGTTGCCTACACAACAGGCTGTGCTAATATAAAATTAAATTGCCTCAAAAATTATATGCAGATTAAACACAATACTGCTATTAACAAAGCTTATTTGTAAGAAAAATTTGAAAGTTTTGATTTATCCTGCTGAGTATTTGAAGAACCACTATCATAAGGAAAACAAATTAACTTTGTTTTCTTTGTATTTTTAACCGTTACAAATGATTTTACTGGTGTGAATACAAAGCATTAGAGAATAGCAGGTTTGGGATTTTCTTCTCTTCTTCTCAGAAAGACTGTTTGTTGTTTGAGCATATTTTCTTTGAATTTTCCAATAGGATTATTCTTATTTTTTCAGTTAGTGGTATACAAAATATTTAAAGTAAGCTTTCCAGATCTGCAGTTTACTTTGAGGAGATTTTCCACGGCTAAGATAGGACTCATCTAATTTGTGAGTTTTTTGCCCTACAAAGAGAGGAATTTTTTTTTTTTTCTTTCAAGGAAGAAGATTTCTGTGTGGTTCTCTTCGGTTCCTTTTTTTATGCAAGGGAAGGGAAAAAAAAATCATATTCTGCTGTGAGAGGATTGGTGATTCTTCAACAGGAAAAGAAATTAATAGTTCCTTTTAAATGTGGTCCTGCTGCGTGTTATGTACAATATAAACCTGCCTGTCTCTCTCTATCCAGCCATCTAGCAAATAGATACACATATGTACATTGCATCTGTAAAATGGTGCACACTTAAAGGCACACGTGTTGCAAGCTCTGCTTCTCCTCTAGATTCCCAGACTGCTCGGCCATAGGC